CACGGAATGCAAGATTAAGGAGAACAGTGTTTTGGATTAAAGGGAGGCTGTTTGGCATAATCAGGCTGCAGTCAGAGATGTCCATTATTTTTCATTCCTAAGAATTCCTCTGATCCTCTTTATTTATGAATATTGGACTAATATTTTGCGTCCTGATTCGCTATTTGATGTACCTGCTTTTCTCCAACAATGTGGAAGACAGACTTAGATTTTGGCACCACAGAACCACACATTTTTAAGCTGCGCCTACCTGGCAAACTGAATGTGATAGTCTTCACATAAGCCTGTAATGTTTGTAATACAGATAGTAATGCATGATTAAAGCATGGCTCGCATCTATGATATCAAGCCAGATCTTTGCTAAACTTCAAAGCAAAGTTCAGTGATCTTAACTCAGTGTTTCAGAGGTTATCATGATAAAAAAGCAGTTGTTTTTCTAATCTGTAGACCTGAGGAGTTCACGCTCACATATGTCGTTGATTTTACCTTCTGATTCAATTGCAGTATCCCAGCTGTACCTCACATAACTGCAGGACTTTGAGGGCCAAACAACATAACATTTGTTATTTTGGTTGAAATGTGGGTTTCCCTATTACCTTGTGCGCAGTGGGTTCCAGAAATCTGAGACCACATCGAAGTTCTGAGATTTTAACCTGGAAATAAACATAGTTTTAAAGTTTGATATGAATTGAAAAAGAAATCTCAGGTTCTGCACTTTTTCTAGGTCACTAAGCAAATGTGTGGCATTGATCTCAGTGAATGTACATTCTGTCAGATGTTCTTGTTTCCATTGAAGCTCAAGATGTTCTTCGGATCTCAAATCATTCTGAAAAACATGATCATCAGGTTTAACACAAACGTGTGGAGTTCATGCAGCTTGAGTGCTGCTGTTATTAAAGCAAAAGAAAATGAACAAAATAAGATTCTGAAATTTATGATTTTTTAAAAATGTAATTAGTGTGATAATTAATTTGTAATTATATTATTAGCACATAATTAAAAACACAATTGACATGTTTTTCTGCATTCTGCGAAGAATTGCATGAGTCTGTCGAGAGCCCATGGGCCGCTGCTGGCTCCACATCTGGGCTGTTTTATGAATTGCTGTATTTCATAAGTCTGGTTTGAAATCTCTAGTCTCTCCTATCATTTTTTTTTGGGTGTTGTTGGACAGGCTTGATTTATCCATAATACCACGCTGTGATGAGCTGCACTAAAAAGTAAAACTTAAACGTAAAAGTTAATGTGGCTCGATCAGACTATCTGTGAGCAAGGATACAAACAGTTGTGAAATGTTTTTGCTGACAAATATAAATATAAGCACCAACAGGAGAAAGTATTTTACTTTTAAAAAGTACACTACACCAGTTGTAAATAAAACAAAGTTTATTGTAGTATGTTTTACAAGAAAAAAACGATTTCAGTCTTTATACTTCAGAATTTCATGTTTCTTTGTTATTATTTGTGAAATTAACTAGCAATTTCTGAGTGAAAATTGTTTCACCACCGTTTTTTTTTCTTCAGTGCACACACTTAATATTTATTTATATTTATATTCATGGTGCTATTTTGTCCTCTGTTTATATTATATCAAGCATGTGTCCCTTGTGTCAGATACTTACTTGTTTATTCTAAATCAAATATGGATTTCATCTAGTTCTTGGCTGTATGCTATTACATTCCATTTGCAGTGTAGCTGTTTGTCTGGCAGCAAAACAGAAATGATCCATTATTAGTAACCGTTATCTAAAGTAAACTACATATTGAAATATTGAAAATCAGCCTATAACCGCTGCTTTAACCGTCATACAAATCTAAACCAGATTTGTTGTTATATGTCATTGTGGTTTAAATAACTAAGAGATAATGTACAGTCAGCCGGTCCGCTCACCCTGAAGGGGTTTATTTTGGGATAATGACCAGCTGACTGGACATTATCCCACTTATTTCACGGCTTCTTACCAGATAAATAAATATGTGGACATAAAATACTGATTTGAGGTTTACATTTGTAGATTAGCTTTAAGCTTTTGCTAATAACAACAGTCCATTACAAAAGAAGAAAACAATCCGCCTAGCAACAAGACACAACATTACAATATTAATTTAGTATTATAATTATTATAAATCTGCAATCTAAGATACTTTTTCTGATATTTAGCTACAATATAACACACCTTTCTCTATTTTCTGTCTAAATGCCTGGTTTAAAGTTTTAAGGTTCAGTCTTAATCTGTAAAACCACTGCAGTTAAGTGGACCATCACTTCCATCTCCCTGGCTAGTGGTATGTTTGCTTGAAATGATAATTTAAGGCATGAATTATAAAAGCTAACCGAGTTTTATACTCGTATAATGATCTGAAGATGAACGGTACATGCTTAAATGAACTTAAACCACCTTCACACATGAATTCTTCACAGGAGAGTGTTTTATAACAGTATTGGAGTACTTGTGGAGTTCAAACTGGACTATTTAATGCATAAATGAGTCTGATTTGTTTAAATTTATCTCCAAAATATAAGCAGTTATGGGGACGCCTCATTATAGTTTGCAGTAACTCATACTTCTGAGTTACTGCAAGATGATTCTTCTATTTTTGCCATGCATTCAAAAGCAAAAGTCTCTCTGGCTCTACAGTAAATATATTTTAATGTATTGGTATCATTTGTCCTGGAAAAAATTATTGCTTACAGAATACTGGCCATTTCTGCATATGCTCTAAGGAGATTGAAAAAGTTTGCTTACTTTAAAATATTATTCAGTCCTCCATTAATTGTCCAAAACGTTCATTAGGCAATTCATTTATTGATAAAGAGGATTAAAACAAGTACTAGAGAAAATTTTCTCATGGCTTTTTCACTGTATCTCTTGGAAAGATATATGAAACTATTGGACAAGCAGTCCTGTGAAGGGAGTATATGAATGGAGTAGTTAAAATAAAAAATGAAAATTATGTCATTATTTACACTCAAACCCCTAATGCTCTTAGTTTTTCAATGTAACACAAAAATTTGTTAATTTAATTATTATTAATTCATTCTATAACTAACATTAAATTATATTTACCCTTTATTTTCATTTAGATCAATGCCGAAGTAGATATTGAAACAAATAGCAAACTAACATCTACTCCCTGAATCAGTTCCATGTGTATGTTTGTAAGTTCATACTAATGTTACAGATCCATATAATATCACTTTAACACTTCAAGGCCCTTTTGGTACATAGGTTGCAGCTCACAGCAGCACAGAGCTCATAACTCTGACACAGTCTGCTGGCATTACAGTCTCTCACCAGCAGGGCTTTCACAGGCCTGCTACAGATCTCTGATCTCTCTTAGATCATCACTGGACCTGCACTAGACCCTTCTGCATCTATTCCTTAAACACTCAGTGGGATCCACAGGGTCATGAATGTAAACTGAGTATGAAATGGAAGTAATGAAGGTAGACTGTATTGAGTCAAACATACTTGCTTTTCTTTTCAAAATGGCAGATCTATCCAAACTCAACTGTTATTCTGCTGCCATATTTTATGACAGCGTTTTGACCTTTAAATGCACCATAAATAGTTAACACAAAATGAATCCTGTGTTTCAGATTGTCAGCATTGATCCTTACTGATTGTTCTGCTTTAGGAAAAGCTCTGTTACTGTAATTAAATTAAGCATAGGCACCCTGACTTTAAAGGTCAGGGTGATTGCAAGACAGGACAGGACAGTCTGACAGGACACAAAGAGCTTATTCGCTCTGAGATCTTCATTATGTGCAGATTGCACATTTCCACATTTTCATAAGTGCACTTAATCTAATAGCTTTTTGAGTTGCCTACAAGCAGTTTTAAAGGGATAGTTTGGCCAAAAATGAAATTGTCAGCATTTACCCACACTCGTGTCAACCGTCTGTGAAACACAAAATATATTTAAAAAAAAAATTGTCTCAGTGCTTTTTTTTTTTTTTTTTTTAAGTACGTGTATAAAAATCATTATGTCTATGGAATGCCCCCATAATGTGTGTGTGTGTTCATTTTTGGATGAACTATCCTTTAATATCATCAATGAATTACTGACAAAAATGTTAATTGATTAAGAGTTTTCTGATTTCTAAAGCAATAAAAAGGATGAAAAATTTGCATTATGACAATAATTCTTGTCCTTAAATGCAAGAACAGCCTCCTTTAAGGGGGAAGTCGTGGCCTAATGGTTAGAGAGTCAGATTCATAACCCAAAGGTTGCGGGTTCGAGTCTCGTACCAGGTATTGTAGGTGGGGGGAGTGAATGTACAGCGCTCTCTCCCACCTTCAATACCACGACTGAGGTGCCCTTGAGCAAGGCACCGAACCCCCAACTGCTCCCCGGGCGCCGCAGCATAAAAAATGGCTGCCCACTGCTCCGGGTGTGTGTTCACGGTGTGTGTGTGTGCACTTTGGATGGGTAAATGCACTAATTCAGAGTATTGGTCACCATACTTGGCCACATGTCTTTTTTTTCCACTTTTTTAATTAAACAATTTTACTTAAAACATACTGTTGATGAAAATGTGATATTAAACATACACTATTTTTTAAAAGAAGAATAAAGGAGAAAATGTAGAAAGATTAGAATAAAATTAATTATTTCTATTAATTATTTCTATATCTATGATTCATTATTCACCTAAATGTATGGATTAATAAAATTAATGAAAAATGACAATTTCATCTATTTCATCATCATCATCATCATCATCAAAAAAAAAAGATGTCTTAAAACTTTGATTCAGTGTATCAACAGTGTTGTAGAGCTGCCAGCTATTGATTTTGACTTCAGTTAAAAAGAAACAGAACAGCATCTGACACAGCAAAATAAACGGTTTTGCATATGGCTTGGAGTGGACAAATTAATTAAGGAAGTTAGAATGACTTATGCTTTGTTTTCTTTGGTGAATGCTTCGAAAACTTGTGCAAGAAGCAAACCACATTCTAACATGTGGCCTCGTGTGTTTGCTTTTTCCTCCTCAGATATTGATGAGTGCCAGGTTCACAACGGAGGCTGCCAGCATAGGTGTGTGAACACCAGAAGCTCGTACTACTGCGAGTGCAACCCGGGCTTTCGTCTGCACATTGATGGCCGCACCTGCATAGGTGAGTCTTTCGGGGGTCGAGAGAGGTCACTGACAGACTGGCCTGCATCCAAACGTTTAGAGAGTGTTATCATCACGGCCCAAGAAAAAGTTGCTTAGAACGGCTTTCTCTTCAAAGCTAGCAGGGGTCTCCACCTTGAGCTCTGTGTATGAGGGGGAATCAAAGAGCCTCTTGTTTTCTTAATAGTGGAATGTTTGCTACTGTTCTGTACTGTACGGGTCTTGTCATGGTGAGTTTGTGATAGACCTTTGAGATAGACCTGACCAGGAACCAACTGTTCTCTTGCCAGGCCCACTATCAAACCATCACATCTATTCAAATGTGACTGTGGTGTAGAAGGTTTCAGGGGAAACCCAACAATTCAGTTTTCAAAGGAAAACCCTGTGGGAATAAACAGTTCTTGCAAGCATATCAATTTAGCTAATGGTATTTGGATAGGGGTTTTGTTTTTCAAATATGTGGCCATAACAATGGATTTTATATAGTACCATTCCAGAGCTCAGGAATTTCTTTATAGAAACTTTGAAAACATTTAACCGAGCATAGTAAATACAAATTACAATGAAGATTCCAGTCAAATACCTTCTTCAAAGCCAATGCCATGCCGCACAACAAGCCCTGTGCTTCATCTTCCATGCTGCTGGGATGCCACATGTCAGCTGAAAAAGACTTTATTTGGAAATGTTGTAGCTTTCTTTCCTTGTAATATGGTTATAATGTTGTGTTTTTCTGTGTGTGCTCTTGGGTTGAAATTGGGACTCTCGGCTCTGAGATTTGCCAGTTTATTTCCAAACACCCAGTTTTATTTGTGTGAAGTGCATGACATTCCATCAGATTACTGAATAAAGGAATGTTTTGGGTAAATGGTACGTATATTCAGCAGCATCTGTGATATACTCTTTATTACCATAGAATAGTTTGCTAACAAAAAACAGAAAATGTAAGTTTATATATTATGATAGTATTTATTTCTATTTTTATATTAGCTTTAATTTTCAATTTTCAATTTTAATTTTAGATTACGCTTTAGTAATTTTGTGATTTTTATTTTTTTTCATATTTCTATTTAGATTTTTAAATAGTCTTGACTGTTGATAGTCTTATTAAAGTGTAAAAATGGCTGACAGGATTTGTTTGAATTTTAATGCATAGAATTTCATTCATTATCTGTGTAAAAGACAAATGAAAGAGATAATGGTATTTTTAAATAAATATATTTATATTATATTATAAACATATAGTTTTTATTTATGTTTACTATTATTATTATATGTGTGTACATTACACACACATTCACATAAATATATATATATATTTCTATCATGAGAACTGTCTGAAGATTTTAGCATGGTAATGGATATGACAATGTTAATGTATTTGGTCTTGGCGGAGTAGATCTGCTACGCTGCTGCTGCTGAATTACTGCTTCTGTTGGTTATTGTATATATATATATATAAATAAATCTTAACGGTCGTTTCTCTTATTCCTTATTCCTCCCACAGCTGTCCTATCCTGTGCAGTGAATAATGGAGGCTGTGAGCATGAATGTGGCCAACTGTCTCCAGTTCACTTCCAGTGCCGCTGCAGACGTGGGTACCAGCTCACAGCTGATGGCAAGCGCTGTAGATGTGAGTTTTGCTCTTCATGTATATAATTTTGACATCTAACAGTGGCTTGACTTAGTGGTGCTCAATTTTGTTGAAAAATCGATCAAAATTAACATCAGATGATGCTTTATTTTTACTGTTTCAAACAGCACCATGTTCAACTTACTATAACAGTTGTTTTACTAGATAGCCTCATGTTTTGTACAGTAATCCTAATATAAGACTTTACTAAAGTAATCAGAACTCAAATATCATATGATCCTAGTCCAGCACCAGACCAGTCTGGACCAGTATGGAAATTCATGTTTGTCAACGTGATCATTTCAGCAGGGTGTAGAAGCAGTTATTTTTGTTGCTTATTTAAACTCTTTACTTTCTGAAGTTTTGTTATGTTCATGATGCCGTCCATAAAATGTCCCGGCAGTGCATATTACATACTGTTAGTCAAAGAGCATGCTGACAAGATGATGAAAGTAGGAAAAGCTTTGGTCTAAGGCTATGTCATAAAGTCAGTATGTAGCTCTTGGACGTATGGATGGAAGGGTTCTTGGCAGAAAGGTGGAAGCTAAAGAAAGTTATTAACATCTCTAAAACCCAGATGTGCTGTTTTCTCAGAGATATTGGCAACTGCCTTGGATACTTTTACTTGGTATCTGTATCAGTCCTGAATCAAGTCATATGAAGTTGGACTAGTGTATCACAACTATGCAAACGTTGAGTTACAAATTACAAACTTTAGACTGAATTTGTATACTTTCAAAAAGTGGTACAGCTCAAGAGCAGTTACTAACCTAAATAACGGGGTCAAGGATTCCAGTAACTATGAACTTGAAAACAGACCTCACTTAGTGCAGTGTGACTCACTTGAACAACAATATCTGAAACCGCTGTGCATTTTGGCCTGCTGTAAATAGCAGTTTTCACTGAGAAACACTTATATTATTCAGACTACAGCATCATCATCTTGGCGAACACTGTGCCAATTACAGTGTGTCTGGCAAAATTCATATTCACTGTACACAGCCCCACAGATCCAATTTCCTGACACTCGCCAGAGCCAATTGTTCCCCTATGAAGTGTTACCACTGGGAGTTAGGTGAAGCCAAGGGGAAAGAACAAGGGACAGAGAGAATGTGTATGTTATTGTGTAACTAGTAGCTTTTAGACATTGACAAAAAACATGCTAGCATCTGTGTTCATGAGAGAGCAGTGGACAGTGCACTTCAGCAAATGGATAACATTGTTTAACGGTTTTCATACTGTTGTGATCAAAGTACAGATGAGTCTTGGGACAAAAGTTTTTGTACTAGTTTAATACTTAGACAATCCTTACAAAAACAACTATGGTTGTGCAGTGCTACAGCGAAGGTATCTGATGGTAAAACCATGGTACATTGATTTGTACCATGGTCAAAGATTAACTGGGACAAAAAAAAAACAGATTGAAACTCATATCATATTTATATATCATAAACATCATATGCTCTATTACATATTCAAGAAATCACACTCAGTTGGTCTCAATATCAATCAACCTTTAATCCACCTTATTTTTAATGTGAGAGTGAGGTAGGCCATTTTTAACTTGAATGTGCAAGGCTGTCACCCGCTCAATTGATTTATCTGTACAAAATGTATCTTCAATTAAATTTTGCTCAACATGAAGTCAAAGCAGAATTAAAGGTTACGTGTCTCGGGACAACACACAGTAGTGACGTTGGTAAGTGAATCTGCGATTTTGAACAAATCGCTTGGATGAATGATTCAATGACTTGCTCATAAAGGCACTAGCTGCATCCAAAATAACATTCTGTCATTCGCACTTACTTTGCGAATGACAGAAATGTCTGTGCTGTGTAGTTTAAATCCAGGCGTTCTACATTTATGTTTTATGAATACAATGAATTCGACATACTACTCTTTTCACATACTGTTTTTCACCTACTATATAGTAGAAAAGTAGGCAGATTAACACAGTCGGAGCCATTTGTTCAATTTCTTAATAAATTAGTGCCAGATGAATCGGTTGAACCAATGAATCAATGATTCACTCATATAGACAGTCACTTGTTGCCACCTACTGGCGTAATATATAATATGCAGAAAGAATCGCTGTAAAATCCCCACCACTGGAACACACGAAACAGTGAAACAGTGAAAAATATATAAACAATTGAATATCATATTCATAGTGTTTATATGGTGCACCAAGGTAGTATTTCTAAAAGACATCAAATTACCACGTCTTTTAAATACTTAGTTCATGTATAGTTTTCTTTGGTTTTGAACGGATCATATTACCCCGATTTGCTCACTCAAATCTATAAAAATGTGTTGAAAGTTAGGTTTATGGCTGGTATAAACCTGACATTTTTTTCTTGCTCTCTGATGCAGTATATCACTCCATATGTTAAAAACACTTTTTTTCTTTTCTTATTTATTCTGGATAAAATCTGTCATCCAAAGGGTCTCAAAATTGCATTGTTATATGTATGATGTGTTTTATGTCATAACGTGACTAAGGCAACAGAGCTTGCCAGGGAAGTATGGGAATTCACATAGAGAAAGCTGCAAAAATGATGTATGTGGACGGAGTTGTTGACAAGAGTTTGTGTGCGTGAGGGAGACAGCCACTGAAATTACTTATAAGATCTGACTTAAACGGCATGTGTTTCAGTGAGGAACCCATGTGCGGAGAGGAGCGGTGGCTGTGTGCACTTATGTCGCAGTGATGGCGGTCATGCTGTGTGCAGCTGTCACCAAGGCTTCACGCTGGCCCAGGACCAGAAGAGCTGTGAAGGTAAAAGCTTGTAAGGTAAACAGGTCAATAATTTAGCTCAAAGGGAATCATTTAAGATTTTAAAGGGAACTCCACCATTAATATGCAAGTGACAGCAGCAGTGAAGGGCTTTTCCACCACGCTAGGGTTCAGTTACACTATCATAGAAAGTATTAAATGCTCTCTCATCTGCTGAATCCTCTTTTTCCGAAGTTTCTTTCCCATGGTGTGAGAACAGTGGAAGCACTGTGTTTGATTAGTTGTCTGAAAGCTGTAGAACATGGTTCATCATTTCCACTCTGAAGTCCATGATGGAACCAGTTAGTGCTTGAGAGGTTACACTCATTGATTTTCTTTTAAGTGATTGTAAGAGGCAGAAATTTCTGTTTGTCCGACTGAAAGTGACTCAACAAATCCAGAGTGGGATTCTCATCGAATTAGACGGTAGCTGTATAAATAGAAAAAGGCAACATGTAATCAGTAACTTGTAACTGGTGTGTTTCAGATGTCGATGAGTGTGAAACGGGATTGGCAGCTTGTGCTCACAGTTGCCGAAACACTCCGGGCTCTTTCTCATGCGTCTGCAATCCGGGATACGAGTTGGGCTCTGATGGCAGGAAATGCTACCGTGAGTTACCTTTCACTTAATTAACTTCTAAGCACAGTTCGGAAAAGCACAGAAACATACCCCAATGGTCTCAATAAGTAGTGATTGGTGGGTTAAGTGTGAAGTATTGATACTTTTAATAATTATATTGTATCAAGAGAATTGATCATTCTAGTGGATAAGCAAGTGATAACTATAGTGATTTAACTACACTACCATTCAAAAGTTTGGGGTTGGTAAGTTTAATGCTTTACTATTTTTGAAAGAACTCTTATGCTTACCAAGGCTGCATTTATTTGATCCAAAATGCAGTAAAACATAATATTGTGAAATCTTATATATTTTAAAGTGTAATTTATTCCTGTGATGGCAAAGCTGAATTTTCAGCATCATTACTCCAGTCTTCAGTGTTACATGATCCTTCAGAAATCATTCTATGATGCTGATTTGGTGTTTGAGAAACATTTCTTCTTATCAATGTAAATATCAATATTTTATGCAAACAGTGATACATTTTCTTGTTAGGATTCTTAATATGTAGAAAGAAGAATTAAAAAGAACAGCATTAATCTAAAATGGAAATCATTTGTAACATTATAAATGTCTTTTTGTAGCATTATAAATGTCATTTGTAACATTATAAAGGTCACTTAATGCATCTTTGCTGAATAATAAAGTTTTCACTGACCCCAAACATTTGAATGGTAGTGTATATTTTAATTTTTTTAGCAAGAAAATAATGAATAAGTAACAAAAATTAACTGTATTAGTGAATAGTTTGACCATAGGAACTATTTCTCATCTGAACATGCAAAAAACTTCTGAAAGACAAGCTTAGAAGTTAAAATTCATCATGTTCTGTAATTAACTATGAACTTGATCCACTAACATCTGCCTGATTGATCAAGGGATAATGCCAAATAAACCCTGAGTGGGTGATCAGGTGTTCACTCAGGTGTTCATCAATCAGGAGGACGTTTATTTTACAATAATGACTGACTGACTGTACTGTACATTATCAACATATTTTATGGGAACTTGACAAGTAAATAAATGGACATGAATTTAGCTTAGTTTATAGGAGAAAACCTTGAACCTAGAACATTGTAGAAGATTGTTGTAAAAACTGAAAATTAAAAAAAAAAAACAGTTTACTGGTAGTATTGGTATCAATATCCGCGATATTGGCCTTGCACTTGATATCGAATTATTAACTACAGTGAACATGATCCATTAACATTTGACAACCAGAAAGTATCCAACTACAAAACCTAATAAATTTTGAAATAAATTACACAGTTGGCTTTTTTATTATCTAATGCAATGACATTCATGTTATGTTCATAATCATTTTTGAACAATTGTTTCTTTTTATTATTAACTCTCTGTAGGTATTGAAATGGAGATTGTTAATAGTTGCGACTCAGATAATGGTGGCTGTTCACACCACTGTCAGCACGGCACGCTTGGACCCGTCTGCAGCTGTAACCAGGGTTATCAGCTTGCGGAGGACCTCAAAACCTGTTTGGGTGGGTGTGCAGGTGTACATAAATTAGTTTTACAAAATAACTCCAATGAAATCCATCTCTTGGATTCAGCGTGCATCCAGCTGCACTGATAAACCTTTAAAATCATCATTCCTCAAACAATATTAATGACTATTTCCTGCAAAGCAAATGTCAGCCAGCTGGATCTCAGCAGTTTTAGGTCTTGTGTTTTTCTGGCTGTGCCTTGAAGGTTCTCTCCAAATAAAGACCCCTCTTCATAGTTGGAAATGTGCTTATGTAAATACTCAGTCTACAGAGTCCTAATACACGGTAATGGCTCGTGTCCTCACTTCCTGTACTGCTTTTTTTGTTTAAGATCTGGAAGAATGTGAGGAGGGAACTTCATGCTGTGAGCAGGACTGCACAAACCACCCTGGAGGTTATGAGTGCTACTGCAGGGCAGGATACAGACTCAACACTGACGGATGTGGATGTGATGGTACTTCACAACCTGTTTACTGCTGATCGACTATTAAAGAAGAGCAAGGAGACATATCAGTTACTGTCAATGTGCTATAATAAGAAACAGTGCTAGTTACATCACAGTGCAGTCACATTGTATAAAGAGTGTTGTGTTTTCCACTGGTGTCTAGATGTGGATGAGTGTCTGTCTGATAATGGGGGCTGTGAGCACACTTGTCAGAACACAGCTGGCTCCTATCACTGCTTCTGTGAGTTTGGAAACCGGCTCGCTGAGGATAGACACTCCTGTATTCGTAAGTATACCATGGGGGGCACAGTGGATATCAGTTGCTTGATCCTGATTGGTCAATCACAACATTCTGTGGTCAGATCTGTAATGAATAATGTGCTATACAGCCATCTGGCCATTGTTGAAAAATAAACCCTATGTGTTGCATCACTTATCATGAAAGGGTTTGTTTTGCGATAATGGTCATGTTATCGTTATCGTTTTGCGATTTTATTTTATGAAGAGAATGAGACTTTTAAAGCACAGTATAGGAAATGGGTTGGCAGGGAAACATATAAACTGTTTATAAATACTTAAATAAATAGTTTAGGGGCCATCGTACAAAAATACATGACCTCAAAATGCCAACCTATCAGAGTTGAGTATTCCAGACAACTATGTACGGTAATAATTTTGTGAAGTAAATGCTAAACTGTGTCATTAACTTTCTATATAGTTCTGAAATGATTTCCTACAGTACATAGCCTTTTTTTCACATAATGAAATAATCAGTTTTTTTTTTTATTTGAATTATTCAATTATTGATTTTGTTATATAGGTATATGGTAATGAGTATGTAAATCCGATTGGCTGGAAACATTGAATTGAAAGAATCAGTTAGAATGCAAGTAGAGTTTCATGGCTGAAATATTCATTGATTACACTAACATTAAAAAAAGTTTGGGGTTTGGTAAGTTTAATGTTTTTGAAAGAACTCTTATGCTTACCAAGGCAGCCTTTATTTGATCAAAAATATACCTATATACAGTATGTATATAGTTAATATTGTTGTAAGGGCCCTGGGAAAACTAGCAACCACTTTGTGAAAGCTAATGGGCATCTGAATAAAGAATGTGCATTTGGTATTTGATAATTATCTGTCCAATGAGCAGGATATTGTGCAGCCAGCTGATAAACATATTCAGTATGATACTACATCTAATCATCTTGTCAAGGCTTATTTTGCAATAATAAGACATTATTACTTACATAGTTGGTGTAACAGCAAGACAACATTGATCATGTCAATATATCTACTTTTCTCTCTCTGTTCTATGTAGCCCTGGAGAGAGCGGTTGAGGAATTGTCCAGTCCAGCGTTGGTTGAGAGACCTCTCCTTCAACTCACTCTCCTCCAGGACTACCCACAACCCCTGGAGCGCTATCACGACTATGAGGACGATGGCTTTGGAGAGCTGCGAGCAGATAGCACCCTCTCTGAGAAATTTGGTCTGTTGTTAAGTCAAATGTCTTTATTTATTATTATTGGCTCTAGCTTCTTGTTAATCTTACCTTTGTCTTGTCACAGTGTGTTTGAATGGGACATTTGGCCGTGACTGCAGCCTGACGTGTGACGACTGCTCTAATGGAGGACTGTGTAACATTGACAGCGATGGTTGTGACTGCCCAGATGGCTGGACAGCAATCATTTGTAACCAAAGTGTGTATTTTATGTTTTGTGAAACCATTAAGTTTGAGATTTTTAATGTTTTTGAAGATTTTTAAGCGCACCAAGGATGCATTTATTTATTTAAAAATGACAGTAAAAATTGTAATATTATGAAATATTATTACAATTTAAAATAACCGTTTTCTATTTTAATATATTTTTAAATGTAATTTATTCCTGTGATGGCAAAGGTGAATTTCAGCAGCCATTACTCCAGTCTTCAGTGTCACATGATCCTTCAGAAATTATTCTAATATGATGATTTGGTTTTTTATCATGATTATTATCAATGTTGAAAACAGTTGTGCAGCTTTAATACTTTTGTGGAAACTGTGATACTTTTGAACAGTAGGCCTATACTTAACTACTCTGTATAAAATAATTATTTTGTCCATTTTAGCCTGTCCAGAGGGAACATTTGGGAGAAACTGTTCCTTCACTTGTAAGTGCAAAAACGGTGGCACCTGTGACCCGATTAGCGGGAAGTGCCGCTGCCCACCTGGAGTCAGTGGAGACCTGTGCCAGGATGGTGAGTGATTGCGAGATTACAACATAAAATGAAACCATATCTGCTGTTCCAAACAGTGCAGGCATGTTTAGATGAACGTGTGTTTTATGTCTCAAATTACGTTCATACGATTTTCGATCATGTTAATCTTTAATTTAAAGCTAGAATGTGTAATTTATATTCTGTGTTCAGGCTGTCCGAAGGGACTATATGGAAAACACTGCAACAAGAAATGTAACTGTGCTAATAACGGACGCTGCCATCGCACATATGGAGGCTGCCTGTGTGATCCAGGGCTCTACGGCAGGTTTTGTCACCTACGTAAGTCCAGCAGTATATCAGACCGACAGTGACTTAAAACTCCTGGAGATACTCGCACAGTGTGATATACCCAAGTAGGACATGTTCCTGGATCAACATCCTTTTTTGGACTTTCACAACATTCCTATGAAGCAATCAAAGTCCTAATCCTATTCCAAACCATAACCATAAAATCAAAGGGAAAATATATTTTGGGGTCTAAATGTCTGAGACACTAACGAAAAAGCTTCTATTTTGCTTTTTTTAGATAGTTTAATAATATTTTTTCACTAATTTAATACAAGTTTGTGTAAAACCTGATGGTCATGTTCTCCAGCATGATTTGAGATGCAAAGAGCATCTTCAGCTTCAGTGGATGAAAATTTGATTGCTGTAAAAAAAAAAAAAAAGAGCTACATGTGATCAATGTTACACATTGCTTGTTAGAGTACTGACTGTCATATGGCACATTTTTTAAACTCCTAAAACTTTAACACTTTACAATAAGGTCCCATTAGTTCATGTTATTAACTAAAATTAAGTAATAGTGAGCAATACATTTGTTGCAGTATTTATTAATCTTTGTTAGAGATGGTTAATAAACATACAGCTGTTCATGTTAGCTCAGGTCCTTTAAATAATGTTTACAAATTCATCTAATAAAATGTTTTAGAATTATTTTTCATTGTTAGTTCATGTTAACAAATGGAACCTTATTATAAAGTGTTACCCCTTAAACGTAATTTCAGGGTTTCAATTACGTTCTCAGATTTTCAATGAGATTTAAACCTGAACTTAATATCTGATTCATTGATATATTGATTCAGTGGATTGTTGTTCCAGAACTAACAAAGATGTTGATCCAGGCGCATGTCATATTTGGATTAATCATGTTATCTTTTTAACATCTGATGGTTCTCCTGGTTGTAACCGAATATCCCACACAATGTCTTTTCCAGCTTGCCCCAAGTGGTCGTATGGATCTGGCTGCTCATCGGAGTGTCATTGTGTGCAGCAGAACACGCTTGAATGCCATCGACGTCATGGAACGTGTGTGTGCAAGCCTGGCTATCAGGGCAAGACCTGCAACCTGGGTCAGTTCAGGGAGTACCATTCACTCGATTGACAGCTTGTCTGTGGCAAGTATGTTTTTATCTGTTGTTCTTTGTTTTTTAGAGTGTGATAGTGGATACTATGGTCCAGGATGTAAATCAAAATGCCAGTGTCCAGCAGGAGTGTCTTGTCATCACATGACTGGACACTGTCAGCGTCAGTGCCCAGCCGGTCTGTATGGGGATCACTGTGACCGAGGTGAGTTAAAGTAATTCAATAGCTGAAATTTAGTGGTATTCGCAATACACGGTGCTAGAAGAGCTTCCATAAAAGTAGATTTATGGCTACCTCTGAGAGTCGTTGTAAGTTTCGCTGACTAGCATTTGACAGGATAAATAAGATTAGTGGGCCAAGCCAAATACAGCTGCCAAACACTGGAATACATGATGGAAATACCTTTATCTCCTGGCTTGCCGATTAAATGTGTTCCCTTAACACAGATATGATCCTGTATTTCACTCAACTGAAAATCTAGAGTAAATATTGAAGCCCAACATGTTATAAAACAGATTTTAAAGGGGAAATGTCTTGAATAACAGGAATTTTTTGGTCTTTGATTAACTTTGTGGAGGTTGCAGGTCAGTTCTGACATGGTCAGCAGGGAAAAACAATGCTTAATCCACATAATTAAATGCTACAACTAAGTTTAATCATGTATTGCTAGAACACTGATTTCGTATTTTTGTAGGCCAACACAGAAATTACCTTCACCCTGGTTCCCTCGACAGAAACCCAACAAGACTTTTCCTATGGCTTATGGATTATTGCAGAAAATAAGCTCTGTGGCCAACAAAGGTTTATGATTCTTACACGTTTTTTTCATCATGATGATCTTCACAAATGAACACAACTTTTATGAACTTTGAAGCAATCTCCAGAAGTAAAATGCTAAACGTAGGCTATAAACTAACAAAACCACGGTCGCATGACTTCAGTGTCAACATCACTAAACTTCCGACAACTCTTTCAGCCTTTATTTAAAATACATTTTCCCTGAAAGTTTGAATTAGAGTGTGGTTATAAATACAATGAGGCTGTAAAAGCGGACTAGTGAGTAGATTAATTTTCCTGTTTGGCTTGATAAAGTTTAATGTCGCCAACAATATCTGTAGCCCTATTTAGCTACATATTAGCAACAACTTTTAGCAAAAGCTTGTAACGCTTTGACTCGGATAACTCGTTAAATCCATGAAATGAAAGAGATGGAAAACGAAGAGTTGGTGTCCCACACATTTAATGGCTGGTACACGGCAAGGCGCTCCTCTCATACATGAGAGATTAACTCTTTCTGGGCGTTACAAATAAAAGTCAAGACAAAATAATAACAAGAAGGCAGAGCGAACTTATCATCCATAGTGGTTCTCATTACACAGTCACGTAGTCCTTCTACGTCATCACCACATAGCGCACGTTATAAGTTAAGTGATCAGTCTCCTGTTGTGACTGGTTTCCAGGGCTACCCTTGCATGGTCATGTGCCTCTTGCAATGTTAATCTTAAGCTCTCGGGATAAGGGATTTCAGCTTCCTCCCTTCCATCCCATACAGGCTGAGTCACCAGGTCCAATGAAGTGTCCAACTCCCTCCCATACATCATCATAGACGGGGTTTGACCCGTACTCTCATGAGGTGCTGTTCGTAGTGCAAAGCAAATTTGTGGGATATATCGGTCCCAGGTTGTATGTTTATCATCCATGTATGCACGAATTGCTGTCTTGAGAGTCCGGTTCACCCTCTCTGTGGCATTCGTCTGTGGGTGATATGCCGTTGTGAGGCGATGTTCTGTTCCCAGGAGAGTGAGCATCCGTTCGAATAGGTCGCTCACGAAAGGGGAACCTCTGTCCGAAATTAGATAAGTGGGGGCCCCGTGACGGGAAAACACTTCACTTAGCACTTAAAAGGTCCATGGCATCTTGGCAGGCACTGTCCCATACAAAAGGAGCATCATTTTTAGTGAGCGCGAACAATGGTTCAGCGTGGCGGGCGTAGTCCTGTATGAACCGACGGTAATAGCCTGATAGGCCCAAAAACTGCCTCACTTGCTTCACATTGACAGGAGTTTTAAAGTCCATAACAGCCTTCACTTTGCCCTGGTCCGGTAGGACGCCACTTGGACAGACACGGTACCCCAAAAAGGTGAGCTCACTGCGACAAAACTGGCATTTGACCAGTTTAATGGTCAATCCGGCAGACTTGAGCCGTGAAAGGACTTCCCTCGGCTGTGTGGTGTAGAGCTGGCCATAGGAGATAGCGGAGCATGTGGCGCTGCAGAGGTGTCGACATCAGGAGGACCAAAACGTCTTAATATACTCTGCTGCAACTGGAGAGAGTCGTTGAGGCACTGTTGCAACACAGATACTTCAGCTTGTAGGAGTTCCACTTGAGTCTCCAGGCTCACTCGCTTTGGTAACTTTTGTCTCTGTCTGGGGACAGAATCTGGTAATGTGTAGGTCAAGTCAGTGTTAAGTTCTGGGTGAGAAGCCATCACAGTAAATGTGCATTTACATAAACAGCAATATAGCAATTGTAAAAATTCTAAATGTAACCCAGAAAAATCCAACCTGCTATTAAAATGCACACACCATCAATAAAATCTTTAACAAAATCCAACCATATCACATCAACAGTCCCTTTGAGTTAGTAATAGTAGTAAAACCACACACTTTTCCACTGTCTCTTTTATGTGAGCTTTGTGTTTTTACCTCAAAAACCCAGAGCAAGAGAATGTTGCTTTAAATTAAATGAATTGTTTTTAAGTTACTTGACCATGCAAATATGTCCAGAGTTAGAAATTACTCTTCAGTCCAGCATAAGTAAATTCAGTTCACAATGAAGAAAAACTGTTCCAACAGGTGAATTGTTTCCTCAAAATGTTCAAAACGCAGTTCCAATGCACAAAAGTGAACCCCTAATCGGCTTTGAAAAGAAAAATCTTTGCTGTTCGCTTCTGCAGTCAAATTCAACGCACACACTCACACAAAAATCCGTGATGAAATACCCCAGTCTACACTTGAGAAACAGGCCGGGAAAATTTTGCAATTAGATTAAAGGGCACACCGCACTATAATGTGATGCATGCAAAAACATAGTTTTGGCCGTTACAAGCTTTTAGAAAATCACAAGGGGAGATTACTAGTGTATTTTGTGTTGTAGAATAAAATGTGACAATGTCTTGAGTTTATTTTAAGATGAGTTTATTTTTAGAATTTAACCAAAAATCCCTGAAATGAACAAAATGCTAACCATCTTGTAAAATTGAACTGCAAAAATGTGTCAGTTTACTATACATATACACAGTAGTAAAGCCAGCCTGTTTAATACAAAGGGTCAGAGAGTTTTTTGATGAAAGAAACCTTATTGTTACGGGTCTGACAAGACGTGAGACGTGTGGATCCATGTGCAAGCTTTATTCT